GGACCCTGAGACCCGGGAGACACCGAGGGGCCCAACCGCGGCCCCGCGCCGCCGCCCGCTTTGGCCCGGCGCGGTAGCTGGGAGCGGGGAGGGCTCCCCCGTTGCCGCGAGGGGATCAGGAACCCGGGTCAGGAGGAAAGGTCGGACTGCAGGCGCTCCGAGGATCTCGGGGAGCGCTGACCTCGTACCCCCGGACGGCGCTGCTGTCAAGCTAAACATTCTAAGATGACATGAATTTTGAGCCGTCTAGCTATAGCTGCGCCTCGTTTGTAGGGACATGCCGAGCGACTGAAAGAACTGCAGGCTGTCTATCGGGTTACACGCTGACGGAACCCGTCAAGTGCGAGTCACAAAACGCGTTCCCCTGGACCCAGCTCCGCCAGCCTGGCGTCAGCAGGTACATACATGGGCGTTTAATCCACAGAGATTTATTGGACAACATCTGCTTGTTTTTCTCTTCTACTTTTTCCTTCCTCCGGTGGTTTGTCCTGCTGGATGGTGACTTGCACCATGGAACAACTATTTTTTTCCTTGAATTATTGTTCATACAGAACCATTTCCTGATTCAATTCGCTACATCACCATTACCGTGTTGGTGTCAATGCAAAGCAAATAGTGGGGAGGTTGCCCTTGAGTTTGTGGACAACAACTCCAAAGATAGTTCTTGATTTTTCACTAAAGCCATCTCAACCTCTGTGGGTAGTATCTATGCATGCTCAGATAAGAAAAAATGTCTTCTTACTCTGGACAAAAAGAATCTATTTCTTGAGGAGATCTGTGCTACAATGTAATTCCTGACCTTGCCAATAGATTCTTCTTTAGCAGAAGAAACTGTGAAGAGGTGGAGGGGGTATCGCTTTGTGTGAAAGCGTACAGCTCCAACACACATCACCTGCCAGCAAAAATTTTGCTGAATTTGCTTCCTTCCCTAGAAGCCTATGCTAAATTTTATTATCTTCTTGAAGACCATAACAATCATAGCTGCTTATACCAGAAGTCCCAAGCCATATATTCCATATCCAACAATAGTCAATACAAGAAGTAGGTGCCAAGCAAGGAAGGAACAAAGCCATACAGCCTCTCCCTCTTTACCTTATGCCTTTTGACAATCATGAATCAGGGACTTGGTCATGCAAAAGGTCCCACAAGCACGATATTCCATCTCCAACAAAAGCTTCTAGTGGAGCTAGGTGCAAAGAATATACGGAAAAAAAAATGTATTATTTCCCTCTTGATATTATATATTTTGGCAAATAAAAATTATGAGATTCCTGTACTAAGCGTTACATTCAGATCATGGATAGGTACCCCTGACATTTATCTATCGCCCTAAACCTTTTATCTCCAAAACATCCCACCACACTGAATTCTGTTACTAAAGTCCTGCAGAAAAGCATCTGTAATTGTTGCTTTTAAAACATCCATCTGGTAATCTATGTGCTTCCTTTTTAATGACAAGTAGCAAATAATTTTATGTTCAATTTCTATGTGCCATTCATGCTTTCATAGCTCTTTTCATCCATCCCTTTCACAGGTTGAAGAGCTCTAGCCTATTTTGTCTCTTAGATAAGACCTCATCTGTAAATTCAAATGGCCTTCCTTGTTGCCTTTATCTTTCTAGTTCTACTCCACTCTT